TCTGGCGCAGCTACGGTTGGCAGGAAGCTCAAGAATGGGCGCTGCAACGTTGGGGTCAAGAGATTCAGATGACTTGCAAGGGACGCACTTGTGTTGACCATGTTTGGCTTTCGCCTGAGGCTTTGGCCCTTTGTCAAGCGGTGGAAGTGCGCTCAGTGTTTGCAGAACACTCTTCGGTGCTTGCATTTTTTGATTTTGCCCAGGCTCCAGCCGCTGTGATGAGGTGGCCTTGTCCATCCCGATTGCCATTGCATTCACTTTCGGCAGCCTGGCCGTCCACCTCACCGGAACCCCTCTCTTCCACCTCGACGAACTCTGATGCTCTGTTTGCTCAGTGGGCCTCTAGTTTTGAGAATAGCTTCAATGGCCATGTCCTGGATCAACCAGCATCGAATTTGGTTCCCCAGCAACGTGGTCGCTTTGGTGCCCAAGCTCCGAGATCTTTTCCAGCCACTTGCATTGCTAGTCGCCCTAGCCGACGTGGGGAGGTTGCTTTGCGCAACAACCGCCTAGGCTCTGTGGTGAGCTTATGGTTCAAGCAGTTGAGACGGCTTCAAAGCTACAAGCAGGCCATTGAAGGTGGTAAGACTACATCTTCTGCCTTGACCTATCGCATTGAATTGTGGTCCTCCATTCTGGCCGCTAAAGGTTTTTCTGGCTCTTTTCGACAATGGTGGAATGAGTTTGGCCGTCATGGTGATCCGGATGCTCCGAGTTTCTTGCCGTCGGGACCTCCTGCACGGGAACTTGCTGGCCTTATTTTTGTGAGCTTTAAGACCTGTTTTGAGGCTTGTGAATCTTGGCATCTTCACCAACGCCTCAAGCTTCTACGTGCCAAGCATGATCGTACTCTCCATGCGTTGTTCGTGGACCTTAAGCCACCGAGTAAGGCTCACCTTGATGTTCTTTGGCAAGAGCAATGCTATTCAGTCATTGGAGCTGACAGTGATTCCCAGCAATTGCACCTCGATCGTCCTCTCGCTTTGGGTGGGTCCTCTACTTGGACTATTGATGATGTTCGGGTTTCTGTACTTTCTGAGGGCAATGATGTCTGCACAGTGGTCCCTTTTCCTGCAGACCCTTGTGAAGTAGTGCTTGTTCAACATCAGACTCTCACCCAGCTTTCGGATTTGCATGAAGAGCTGTGTCACTTTTGGCTGCCCCGTTGGCAACAATTTGAGGACCTTCCATCGGACCGCTGGGACAGGATGATTGGTTTCTTTAGAGCCTATTTGCCTCGACTATCACTACATGTGCCACCTTTGACTTTGTCTACATGGCGCAGTGCCCTTCGCCGCTTCGGTGTTCGCAGTGCTCGGGGAGTGGACGGCTTTTCTCCGGCGGAACTCCTGAAGATGCCTGATAGTTGGACACAACAGCTTTTGGATCTTCTTGGCCGTATCACTCTTGGTGAGCTTGCTTGGCCTGCTGCGATACGTTTTGGTACTGTGTTCTCTCTGGCCAAACGTGCTTCGGCTCATTTGGCAGGTGATTTCCGGCCGGTGGTGATTTTCAGCGTCATCTATCGATGTTGGTCAGGTATTCAGGCTCGGGCTCTGTTACATCAGCTGGAACCGTATGTGAACTCTGAGTCTTTTGGCTTTCTTCCACAGCGGGAGGCTGCACAACACTGGATGGCCTTGCAGGGTCAGATTGAGGTGGCAGTGCTGTTGTCAGAGGACCTGTGTGGTTTCAGCTCGGATCTATCTAAGGCCTTTGAACACATACCCAGGCCTCAGACAATGGCGCTTTCCCGGCATCTTCAGGTCCCAGAGACTGTCCTTCGACCCTGGAGCAGTTTCCTGGACACTTGTGTGCGGGCCTTCGATGTGCGGGGCAGTTTGAGTCCGGCCTTGCCTTCCAAGGTTGGTATGCCCGAGGGCGACGCCTTGAGCGTGTTTGCGATGGTTCAGCTTGATTTCAGCTGGCATGTCTACATGAAGGCGTTTTGTCCGGCAGTTCGCAGTAGTTCCTATGTGGACAATTTGGGAGTGAGAGGCATTTCTCCTTTTGATCTCTTGGAAGCTCTATGTACCACATCCAACTTCTTTGAGCTCTGGAACCTTTCTCTAGACCATTCGAAGACCTACTGTTGGGGTACAACGAAAGCGGTTCGTGCTGGCCTGAGCATTTTTCCTAATGAGTGCAAGGACACGGCGGCGGAACTGGGAGGTTCGATGTCCTACACAGCCAGACACCGGAACAGTCATCAGAGGGAACGTCTTTGTTCACTGGATGAGCGCTGGACACGGCTTCGTTTCTCCCAGGCGACTGTTCAACAGAAGTTGCGGGCTTTGCCCATTTGCTTCTGGTCTAAAGCTCTCCATGGTGCGGCTTCATGTCGGCTTTCGTTGAAGCTGATTCAGGATTTACGTATTGCAGCACTTCGTGCTCTACGGCTGCTGCGTGCTGGTAGTAACTCTGTACTGCAGCTGACTTTGAGTGGGGTGATGACGGCTGATCCTGGGTTCTTTCAGCTGCAGTATACAGTGCACTGTTTCAGGAGGATTTGCTGCAAGATGGCTCAGTTTTTTCATGACTGGAATGTCTTCATGCAATTGTTCTCAGGTGTGCTTCATCAGGGACCCTTTTCCAAGCTTCTTGAAGAGCTCAACAATGTAGGCTGGTCGTTGTCGTTGCCTTGGCTCTGGACTCACGATGATCTCTGCTTTGACTTTTTGCAGATGGATTCGGACACCCTCTCCGAGCTGCTGGAAGAGGCTTGGCTTGGTCATGTGGCACGTCTTGTTCGAGGCCGCAAAACCATGAGTGATTTGAAGGGACTTGATCGGCACCTGCTGTGGAGACATCGTCAACCACTTACGGCCTCGCAATTGGCTCGTTTGGGGGCGCTTCAATCGGGCGCTTTCATGGATAGAAGTCGACAGTCCAAGTTCGACCTTACCAAAAGTGGACGCTGCCCGACTTGCTCGTGCCCGGAGACGCAGGAACATTGGTTGACTTGCCCGGCGCATGAGGCTTCACGGCGCCAGGCGCAACTTTCTTTGCACGCAGTTGCTACTTGCCAGCTCTCTTTGAAGCTCCACTTGCTGCCTTCCCGTAATCCTCATCTACCTTGGTTGCGATCCCACTTTCATGGTCTTCCTCGGCACTTTGACATGTTGGCGGGTCCTTCCAGTGATGCGGAGCACGTCTTTACTGATGGTTCTTGCTTTCAACATGGGTATGGGGGGGCGCAGGCAGCTTGGGCGGTACTTTCCGCCACTAGTGGACGGCCTTTGGCCCAGGGTCATCTTTCAGGGGTTCGTCAAACCGTTATGAGAGCAGAGATCACTGCTGCTTTATGTGCTTTGACATGGAGTGCTGAACATCAGGTGTTCATTCACCTCTGGATTGACAACCAGGCCGTGGTCACTAATTTGCTGTATTTGATTCAGCATCATCGTGTTTCTTCGCACTGGATTAACCAAGATCTTTGGCGAGAGGTGTTGGAAGCTTTAGAGGCGCAAGTGCGTGAGCCTCGTGCTACCTGGATTCCCTCCCACCTGGACGAGACTTTATGCACTAGTCCGTATGAATCTTGGTTTTGTTTCTGGAATGACCGAGTGGATCGTCTGGCTGTTTCTTGCAATGAGCAGCGCTCGGAGTTCTACTACCAGAAACTGCAAGCCGCAAACCAGTATGCGGAGGACACACTGTGCCAAATGGGGCAGCTGTTTTCTTTCTACTCCCATGTGGCGGAGGAGGCGAAAGATTCGGAAGTGCTCGCGGAGCCACAGACTTCTGAGGATACCCCTGAGATGCATTTTTGTGTAACAGACAAAGAGGCCCTGTCTAGTTTTTTGCCTGGTCAATTTTCTGAGCGGTTGACGGCAATCGGCCACATGTCTGTCCCTAATTTGTTTATTTCTCGTTTGCTTAGTTGGCTCGTTTCTCAAGAAGATGCTGCTGATGGTACTTACGCCTGCAGCTTTTTGGAACTAGTGTTCATGCTGATTAGCAGTGGGGTTGATCTTCCTTTGAAAAACCCGAGTACAGGCTGCTGGGAGCACATGGATTACTTTTCCATGCCAATCAGGCCAACTGTAGCCTCCTTGATCAGAATGGTTCGTTTAGCTGTCAAGCTGGGGGCCGATGTGTTTGGATATGGTGAGCTCTTGTTTTTTCATCAGAACAAGGTGGCCTTGGGGATCCATTCCCCTTGCAGTGGCCTCTTTTTGCGGTTGAACAGCTCTTTGGTCAAGGACACGCGATTTTCTGTCCACACGTGGACATCGTCGTGGCCTATCCGCAGGGTCGCTGACCTCGCTAGACCGTTCCCGGTGGCCGCTCACACCGGATGAGTTTCGCAACTGACTGTGACTTGGCCGCCGCTCTGCTTGCGCCGAGCGCGTGCCACCCAATGTTCGAGCTATATAGTATTTTTTGATACTTACACGACACATATGTTGCCGTACACGGCTAGGCTAGTGCTGGCTTCTGGCTCCCGGCTGTGACGCTGATGGGCCGTGATGATCCCAATTTCCATGTTGTACACTCTGTGACCCCTATATTATTCTTGGTGCCAGTGACTGGACCTGCGCTCTGACAGCATCTTTAAGCCTTTAAGCTCAGAAAGCTGAAAACGTTTAAGATTTGTCAATCCTCTCATGTTTGATGGGGGATTTGACGGATTTGATATCAGAGACCGCACGGACTCCTAAAGCGAGGGCACATGCACTATTGATTCAAACAAGCTGATGAATTCCTGAGTTTTGCCAGGTTCAATCACCCGGGCATTTTGAAGGAAAGAATCCAACAATGTGTAGGGCAATGGAGAAAAAGAGAGAAAGAGAGACACAAAGGGCGAAATGGAAAAAGGACCAAATCAAATACATGACAAACTTCTCAATAATGTAAATAATGAATAATAATAATCATGATGTGCCTCAGGTGCACAATCTTGCCAACATGCAATCATAAATGCTTGGTTTGCGAGTTCAGCGGGAAGTTGAAGGATTGGCGTGTTGGCACAAGCGACTCCTTCAATCGCGCGACAGGAAATTCAGCAGATGCACGTACAGCCTCCACTGATGGGCTAGATCCAGGACAGATCCCTGGCGGTGCATCTCACGAAGAGAGAGACCCTCACAATTGGCAAAATATTGTGCATCCATTTGCGTCCAGTTAAGCAAACTTGGGACAGCACTTTCGTCGCAGCTCTTGCCTGTCTTGGGCAGATGTACTTTGTGTCGCCTCATGGCCTGCATACCGCAATGCAACAAGCAGTTTGCGTTGAAGGAGCTTCATGGAACATCAATCCTTTGCAACTCTTTGTTTCTTTTCTTTGCATTTCTATGTCCTGGCAGGCACTATGTCAATGTTTGAGTCGATGACTCTAGTAATCTAGTACCGCCCTGGTGGCAGAAGGCGACCAATGGATCCAGAAGAGGAATGGTTAGCAAGGCATGGCTGACTATGTAAAAGACTTGCTTTAGCTCGCTGCTTGTCACCACAAAAGCGGACTGCAGACAAAGCATGCAGAAAGACATGCACGGCGCTGCTACGTCTATTTTTACTTTTAATCTTCCAAGTTCTGACGTCCTGCGAGTCACCGTGCTACCTGACAAAAAGTGTTTAGGCTGAATCTGAACTCAAGGTTGTGCAGGCTTAGGTCTCCAGCTTTCAAAGCACGGCGAGGGCATTTTGCAATGTTTCCCTTGAATCAACAAGGCAGCTTGCGCATTTTGTGTCTCACCGCTTATATAGATAGAATGTTCAGGCAGATACTTGGAGCTGGCGCGAGCTTTTGCGCAGGCTACCGGGAGCAGAGCAAACGACGCACTTTACTGGACTGAAGATCGAACATATGTCATGTTTAAGAAATTGGCCAGCGCACCAGGGCAGCAGCTAGGCAGTGGGAAACCACTGACACTTCTGTTTCACGCATTCATTGCTCAGTTTCGACAGTGACTGGGGAGAAGCCCAGTTGTGTGGTGGCTTGGAGCAGAAAAGAAAAGATTGAGGCGTTGGTTTGTTGACGCATCACAAGAGGCAGAGGCAGTTAACGAGATATACAACACATTGACATTGGGTGTGAGCAATAATGTGGACGGTGCACATTGTTGGCTTAGAGATGGTTCCTTTGTAGTGCCCAACATGGCCGTGAAGTTGTGGATGGTTGTGGCCCCGATCCAAGATTGACACGAATCACCAGTCAGTCCGACATGGTTTGAAGATGTTTGGGCCTTTGTGATTTGTTTGTTAGTTTCTGTAGCTTTTGTTGCTGTGAATTCTGCACCTATGTTCACCAAGCTGCTGTGGCAATGTTCAAGCTTCTGCACAAAGGTTGGGACAGCGATAGTGGCCCATGCAGGAAGTATGATCACAGTGTGGCACTTTATGACTGAGATGCGGCACCCTTGAAAGCGGACCACAACTCCAGACAATGCAGATTCCCACACAGAGGTTTGACTCAACGACTCTTTAGAATAGTATTCAAGCGAAAAAGCACCAAATTCATTCTTGATTTTTGTGACCTTTGCTTGTTGTTCCACGCCTGGTTTTGGACCCAGGCAGAGAAGCATGCGGCCATGGAAGAGTCGGAAGCCATGCATGAAGACGCAACTGGAGTCACCCTTCAGGCCTTGGCATTTCTGATCAGCAAGACTTGGAGACGAGAGTAAGGCATAAGAATTGGATGCTTTGGGCGTGTTTCTTGTTGCTTTGGTTTCTTTATGTTTCTTTCATTTTGAACGATTTGTTTGTCTACTGGATTCTACTGGCATCATAAGGGGGCCTTTTTCTTGTGCTACTGCTGCTGTGAGGTTGTTGTAGAAGTCATTTGTGGATCTCTCCTTGCACTATGGGGCGGCATTGGGGATTTCAAGACCAGCACTTAGCAATTGCTCGGACAAATGCAATGTCCTCGTGGTGGGTTGAAGATTGTTTGCTGTCCAAGGCCAATTCGCATGGGCGACTCCAAGAAGCCAAGATGGGAGTTGGGTCCTCAGCAGATTGCAAAATGCCCCATGATCTTCACTTGCAGCGAACATTGGGTGTCAGTCTTTGCTGCGACTGTGAAAAACTATGCCAGGTCTTTGCACGCACGACCCGATTTTCACAGCTATCGGAGCAGAGCAAAGTTCATGAGGAGCGGCTGGGGAACATATTGAGAGTGGGTGGTCTTATTCTGTATCATGTGCAGCCGCTCATGGCGCCTCTTTCGGTCAGAATGAATCTTGCACAAGTGCCAATAGCTAATATTGTGTGATATTGTGTGGAATCTTTTGTGTACATGTTTGTGTGTGTGTTCGTGCGCGTTTGTCAACTAGTGAAGGCTAGCCTGCTGCCCAAGAGCAGCAGCTAACTAACCCTCCTCCCTTGCGCCCTTTTTGATTTCGAATTGATTTTGGTGAAGTGTGAAGGAAGCGCAGGCAGCTGAAGTAGTGGTGAAGCTGTTTTTGCAAATGGCCCAAGTCAGTGAACTGCTGGATGTTGTTAAAAAGGGGAAGGCCATGACTGGTGTGTATATATATATATACGAGATTGTTTTTGCACACTTAGATCCATGCTCGCAAGAGCTCTATCAGTTTTGAAATTCCGGAAGCTAGTTACTGAATACTTAGCGCTTGACTTGAATCAACGGCATGAAGTGCTGGGTCGGTCAAACAGAAGGTTACAACAAAACGCACTAGCCCAGCCCTTTACGATAAATTAAAATTGGTGCAGGTAGACGTGGCGGCGTCCCACATTGCTTCACCACGAGCTGACAGTGTCTTCGTTGGGCAGTGTCTGTCAGTCGTGCACTGCCCCCCTGCGGAGCTGCACTAATGTGTCTGAGCTCCTTGGAAACAGGAGTTGGGACACACACACACACACATTGCCGTATTCGGCACGCAGTTGGGAAATTGGCAGGCACTTGACTATATAAAGAAACCTGGTTACAAACCTAAAGAGTCTATAAAAGTCTCTAGAGCGAAGGAAAGCCAAGAAAGAGAAACGAAAGGCAAGGAACGAAAGCGGGGGGGGTCGGGAGTGAGGATCGACTAAAACGAGCCTAAGCAGCAACCTAACAAGCCTGAAGAAAAGACCTAACAAACGAAGGAAGGCAAGGAGAGAAAGGGGGTGCGGGGGTGTGCGTGTGGGGCAGGGGTGGTTGAAAGGCACAAAGCCAGACACCCAAAAAGCCGAAATCGGCGCTCCCTTGACTAAAACTTAACCTGAAACCTAAGAAGCCTCTAGCAACGAAGGAAAGACCTAGAAAGAGAAACAAGGAAGGAGAGAAAGCAAGACCGTGCATGAATTACTCAGTTTGTTTCAAAAATTGGAACGCATGTGATTACACTAGCCGACATGTCATTCTGCAAAGACTACTTAGCTGCATGAAATGTCATTCTGTGGTGGATGCAGTGGGCCCCGCGCATACAGTCTGCGATCTCGAGCAATCAGCTGGTCAGAGGATAATCGAGTGGAAACGCACAGAACAATGAAAAAGCACCCTTGAGGGTCTGTGCTACAAGCGCCCAAAGCTGGGATCACACAAGTCAGTGGGACCGTGTTGCGAAACCCACTTAGATCCATGCTCGCAAAGCCTTTATCAGTTTTGAAATTCCGGAAGCTAGTTACTGAATACTTAGCGCTTGACTTGAATCAACGGCATGAAGTGCTGGGTCGGTCAAACAGAAGGTTACAACAAAACGCACTAGCCCAGCCCTTTACGATAAATTAAAATTGGTGCAGGTAGACGTGGCGGCGTCCCACATTGCTTCACCACGAGCTGACAGTGTCTTCGTTGGGCAGTGTCTGTCAGTCGTGCACTGCCCCCCTGCGGAGCTGCACTAATGTGTCTCAGCTCCTTGGAAACAGGAGTTGGGACACACACACTTAGAATCACTTAGATAAGGTTCAGTCGATATCATACAACCCACGAGGAAAGGAGTGAGGGAACGGAAAGGTGAAAAGTCAGCGCACTTGAAATGTTCAACAGTTTGTTTCTCATTGGCCCTTTACTGAATACTTAGCAGTCTTTAATTACGCGCAATAGTTAGGGAGCGAAACCGCCCGGGTAGAGTAGACTAGAGAAGGGGCAACAGAAGGAAAGGAACCGACGCACAAGTACGCCGACGAACCATTTCCTTCTGTTGCCTTGATTAGCAGCAGGCACGTGGAAATGGCGTCCCATTTCCATATCCTCGGATACATCGCCAGCTGCGTTGACCAGGCGACGATGTATTCTGCCTGGTCCCCTGCTTCTAGTGGCCATAACCACAAGCATGCAACGTGCAAACAGTTACTGTAAGGTCTGTAGAATATGGCCAGGTTGTAGAAAGTTGGTGCTTGCAACACATCAAGTTGAAATCTTGCCGGTGTTAATGGGGACTCTGCAGGGAATATGCCGTGGCTGAAGGTGGGGGCAGCCACCGGGTTTAAGTGCAGATGTGACTTTCCGCGCGCAGCATGCACGCACGCCACACTGCTTTCCGCGCGCAGCATGCACGCACGGCCACGCTGCGAGAGCTTTTAGCGGCTTTGCCCCAACCACTTCCAATCACAATTCGTTCAAGCGACACGTTTGCTGCATATCATTCTTCGTCATTCGCCCAAACTTGCGGCTGCTGGCAGCCACTGGCACTCTAGCCGTTTAGTTGTTGCCCAAGTCTTGTCACAGGTCACTGCTGACGAACATCGAGCCCCCGCCAGGCTATTGAAACTTCTCCTTGCTACGTGGGAAGAAAAGGGGGAGCGCTTTCCAAGGGTTACTGAAACTGCATCAGATTTTGAAGAAACACGACTACAAACGATCTACAAGGGCAAGTGTGTCTTGAAACACTTATATACGTGGACTGTAGCCATTTTCAGCTCGTTTGATTGGTTCAAAGTTGTGTGCGATGGGGTGCCTTACAATATGTAGTGTGTTGGTCCCACTGCTGGCCATTGTTGCCCCGATTGCAATGATCCTCGGCATGTCCTTGGCTCTTTATGTCATGTTTTTTGGTGTCCAAGAATGTATGCTCAGATTTGCTCTGAGGAGTGCAGCATTTGATGGCCGATTTTGGGATGTCTTCCCAGCATGGGATGTGAAGGACATGCCCGACCTGTCTGGAAAAGTTGCCATCATCACTGGTCCAACAGCGCCTCGTTTGGAGTAAAGTCTCACAGTCAGACAATGGGCCATTGCAGCCATGCGGCGGCACTTCCATATTCGGACACGTTGTGCAGTATTTTACATTATTTTGCAACGTCCTGGATCCAAAGCCCACGGCCTGCAAAAAAGAGTGTCCCCTCAGCTAGACCAGGCCTTTGCCGCACTGCACCTTTCCAGGTTGGAGGTATTGGCTTCGAGTCCGCTGCTGAAATGGCGAAGAAGGGTGCCCAGGCCATGGAAACGAGATTGTGAGCCAGTTCAAAGGTGAACATTAATTGTGAGCCAGTGGCCAGAACAGTGGTTCGACTTTCACCTAACACATGTTGTCTTTCGCTCTCTTCCGTCCCTTTGTGCTTTCCAATTGACGTTGGAATCATGGCACACCAAGTTCGTAAAAGACAACGATCTTGCAGAAAGGGTCTACGGATGTCTACAGAAACTTGTTTCGGATGTGCCCTTAGAAGTGTGTTCCACAGCTCCCGGTTTGCACAGGATCACCCACCAAGCAATGAATGTTGAACCCTGACAAGTTTCTGGCAATGCGTGTCCAAGCTGTCAACTTGCAAGCCAGCTGAGTTTGCTCCTCCATTCTCCTTTCCATCGGGCTGGCTACTGTCCCATTCAATGAAGAATTCCGCAGAAAGCCTAAAAGGCATCTCAATTTGTTTCTTAACTATTATATAGTTTGGGATTTGGTCAGGTCGTATGCGCCCTGTTGGGGCAACCGATCCCTTTGTTCAAGCGATAGGTGATTTTGGCGGGACGCAGTGAAGCGAAGGGCAATGAAGCGCTCAAGCTGCTTCTGCAGCGAATTCCACACGCGAAGGCCACTTGGAAGGGCAGAGCACCGTGCCTTTTTTGTTTGCCCTGACATGCCCTGACTAATGTAGTCCCTTGATTTATACACCCCCTCCCCCCCCCTTCAACAACCAAGGCCTCCAAAATAATGTATAAGAAAATTAAGCAATTGATAATTGAATAAGGAATCCTTAGCTGGCTACCTCTGGAGCTACTCTGGCAATATTAAAATAAAAGGAATCAAGAAAACCTAACTTTGAAGACATCTGGAATATTAATTACAATAAATGGGAATGAATCAATGGAAATAGAACTAACTTTTTAACTTTCAATGGACATCTGAACCCAAAGACCTGCAATTTCAATGGTAAGTAAAGCAAATCAAAAGGCAAAGAAAACGGAATAAAGAATTAAAGCCTCAAATCTCTAGACATTATTCTACAGAACGGGTGTCCCTGAGAGTGCGGTTTTCCATTGATTTGCAGATGTTTTTTCTGGAAATTTTGCACCAGATAGAGACAATGATTTGCAGATGTTTTTCTGTAACTTTTGCAACAGATAGAGACATTTCAGATAGGACCAGATGTTTTGAGTATTCAGAAATACCAAAAAATACAATTTTCCAGAGGTTTGGGAATTTGGTGGTTCCAAAAAACCTGGGGTTTCCAAAAAACCAAAAAAATCAGAAAAACAAAAAAACAATATTTCAAAACTCTTTCTGCAGAAGCCCTAAGTGCAAAGACCTCTGGAAAATTGTTTTTTTTTGTTTTTTTTTTGTTTTTTGGAAACCCCAGGTTTTTTGGAACCACCGAATTCCCAAACCTCTGGAAATTTTGCACCAGATAGAGGCATTTCAGATATGACCAGATGCTTTGAGTATTCATAAATACAAAAGACTACAAATTTCCAGAATGAAAACGCAGATGAAGAGATGCAAAATAATTTAGTAATAGGATATTTAAAAAACAAGATTGAAGGACACAAAAAACAGGATAAAGTGGCTGATAGAGAAATAGATGAAGACAACTATATCAATGAACATTGATGTTTGAATCATTTCCATGGCTGTTGTGCCCACTGTGGAATAAAATCTTATATTGAAATGAAGCAAGGCAAATGATCAAAAAACTTCACAGCACAAAGACTAGACAATACACTGTGCCATTCTGTGGATAATTGCACTCCATACTGTAAGTATTGTAATTGTAGTGCTCACTGATTATTTTTGAAAATATGGAAGTAAAGCAACAACTTTAAGAGATGCAAAAACAGATTCTGAAATAAAACTGTTTGATGTTGAATAGTTTTTTAGAAAACATGTTGAGATAAAGAAAAAACACAGAGGTCAGAACAGTTTTGTAGCACCTCATAATAATCATACCTACCAACTTGACATTTTTTTAACCTGATGACATTGAAGCAACACAACAATTTAGAGCGGATTTAGTAATGATAGATGTTCTGAGTAAATATGCTGTGGTAGTGCCAATAAAGAGTAAAACCCCACCTGACATAATTGCTGGAACTATGGAAGGCTTAACCCCACCTGCCATAATTGCTGGAACTATGGAAGGCTTACACAAAATGGGAAAGAAGTGCAAACTTTTGTATACTGACGATGAAAGAGGTATAGCAAGTGCTGATGGTGAAGGCATTGAGGGCAAGAGGACATCCTGTCTTCGCTGAAAGATTTTTAGGATATTTAGGGATAAACCATTCAAAAGAGTTGAAAATGATGAGAAGAAGGGAAAGCAGAATATACAATGGACTGACTACATATTAGAAATAATGCTGACTTATAATAAAGATGTGCATAGTGCAACAGGACTAACACCAAATGAAGCAAGGAAAGAGAAGAATGAGTTTAAAGCAAAATTGAATGTATCAGTGAAAGCAAGTAAAGAAAATATGTATCCAACACTAGAGGTGGGAGACAGGGTAAAAATAATGAGGAAGAAAGCAATTACAGAGAAAGAGAGAACAAGTCATTTTTTACAAGGTGAATATACAGTAGAAAACATTGCAACAAAATTAGGAAAACAATATCAAACATTAGAATGATTTAATCGTCCATTATTAAGGCACAAATTGTTTAAAATATAGTTTATTTAACAAACATACATTTTAAAGGAAATCTATTTAAAGAACTATTATGTTATAACACTACTAAAAATCATAAAACGGCGCACTCTGACAAACACCCGGACTCTTATTCTAGGGCCCCCCCC